GCAGTGTTCCAATATCTCAGGGGTTGCCACAAAGAAGAGGGAGTCAAACTGTTCTCCAAAGTACCTAAGGGTAGAAAAAGAATCAATGGTTGGAAACTAATCAAGGAGAGAAGCAGCTTAGAACTGAGGAGAAATTTCCTGACAGTTAGAACAATTAATCAGTGGAGCAACTTGCCTCGAGAAGTTGTGAATGCTCTAACACTGGATGTTTTAAAGAAGATGTTGAATATCCATTTGTCTGAAGAGGTGTAGGGTTTCCTGCTTAGGCAGGGGGTTGGACTAGAAGACCTTTAAGGTCCTTTCCAACTCTGTTATTCTATATAATATAAAAATAATCATGCTGGTTTCTACTACTTGTTCCAGCTTGTTAAAAACTTCTTGAAACTGGATTATGCTATCTAAATTGTTTCCCATGTCATCCCCAAATTTGATAATCACATGTTCTAAATTATACAATAATTTATAAATAAATGGAACACCACTGGTCCGGAATACATTAATTAAGATTTCCTTCTAGCTTAATCCAGCATTATTAATGAACATTTATTGGATTCAATTGTTCAAACAGTTATTTATTAATTTAATAACAGCATAATAAACACCACATTTTGCCATTTTTTTCTACTAGAATCATGAAAGACTTTGTCAAATGCTTTCCTGATGTCAATGTATATAATGCCCACCACATTCTTCAAATTGATTAAATTGGTCACTGTATCAAAAAAAGAGATGAAGTTAATTTGTAAAAATACATTTTTATAAACTGTTACAGCATGGCTTAGTCAGAAATAATATTTTTTTAATTATCAAGAATATATTTTTCATTAATTTCCGCTCTCAACCCTCACCATTTTCTGCTTGCAGAAGTGTATTTGCGGCTGTGTCAGCCACTTTTCTGCCTATCTGATACAGCCATTCCAGTTTACCTACTGGTTTGTTCTTAACAACATTGCCCCTTCCTCACAACATTTCTATCTAAAAAAAAAAACAACCTCTACAGGTTCACTCATCAAACAAACGCCACAGGACACTATCCCTCATAAAAAAGTGTGGATGACTTTGGGGGTGGGGGAGAGATATGCCTAGTAAACAATCAGACAACAAACACAAAAAAGCAGGAGCCCCCAGAAGATCAATGATCAGAAGAAGGAATTAGGAAGGACCTGCCCTAATTGATCAGCTGCTTAAAATGGTGTACCTTTATACTTGAAAGATTCTGTCAATGTAGCCTTACAATAGAGTAGAATTAGCTCATCTAGTAATGGCTTATTTGGAAGAGTCTACATATAGTATTTGGTTTTTTCCCCAACTCCACCAGATTTCAATGAACTGTGTGCTGAGCTATAACTCCATCTGACTGTCTGGGCCTCAGTTTCCTATGACTGTAGCTGGAGCAATCATAACCAGTGCATTGTTTTTCTGGCTTGCCAAAGTTTAGGACAATATGGAAGCTGCCTCTTTGCTGTCACTGCTGTGTCACTGTTGCTACTATCATTGTAGGGCTACGTGATGTGAAGATGAGAGTCTTTCAGCCTTCATTCTTTTTTGGATTTTGTCAGATTGTGCCATACCTTAGCTTTCTTCACAACAACCATACAACAAATACCACCTTCTCCTTTCACTATTCTTTCCTAGCTAATATCATAACATCTCTACTTCTTCTAAAATAATCCTTCTAAAACAATTCATATCACTACAACAACCCTCTATAGCTGCATGTAAATAATGCTTTGTCTGATGCCATCTTCGTATACTGATAACTTAATCCAGGTCTCTTGATATTTGTAGCAAATACTGTCACACTGGTGGGTTGGTTTTTAAATTGCTATTTTCTGTTTTAATAAGGTAATATCTTTTTTTTAATCTTGTAGGCAATTTTTTAAGCTGTTGACTATAAGAAATGGCATTTTTACTGTCATCACTAAAATTTGAACATGACTGATACAATTGATTTACAATGAATGATTAAGAAAGTACACATTTCTAAGATCATATTAAAACTGGAACTTAAACGGATTCCCTCTTATTCCAAACACATCATTTGATTTTGGTCATTAAATTAGGAATTCTCCTTCTAATGGAAAATAGTCTTTGAAAACATTCTGATTAAGTGTTAATATAAAAGTTAATATTGCCAGACAAGGATGAGTTAAAACACTGTAAAAACAAAAATTATTCATTTTCATGGTCTCCTTAATAATCTTTATTCTATCCAGGAAACATCATACTGTGTGATTGTTTATATGTTAATAATAGATTTTTAAAATAGCTTATTTACATTTAGTTCAAAGCTCAAACAATTAAAAGACCAATTTTATACAAAGGTTTGTGATACTAATATTGGCATTTAAAAAATGTGTAGTTCAAGCTACCATTCACTCTATAATGCATTCAGTTTCAGGGTAAGATTAAAGTAGTTTTGTGTGCATTTTTTTACAACTATCACTTTGATTATCTTATAACAAACAAAAATTGATTGCCATAGTTCAAAATGTTATAGCCTGGCTGCCTGCTTCTTGAACAAGTTATGAATCCTAATTCCTTGTCTGGAAATTTATGGATCTAATTGGTAATGGAAAGCTATGTCAGTCTTCTTTTGCAAGCCTATATGTTTTTTTAAAAAAAATGTTTTGCATTATAAAGGCAGAAGGAAAGCTTCTATGAATTTGCTTTACACACTTGTTTCAGAATCACCAATTACGAAGAAAGGTATTCCAGTTTCTGTTAATGTATAAGCTTTACTGAAATGTTTCTGAAATGGATGAATTTAGACCAGTGGTGGGTTTCAAAAATTGTTCGAACCTACTCTGTGGGTGTGGCCTCCTTTGTGGGAGTGGC